GTGTTTGTTTTGGTCATCAAGTTGAAATTCACAATCATCCTTTTTCCGTTTTTTTTTATTCAATTCAAGTTCGGAATTTTTAAATAATGCCACTTTTCTACAACTCAAACCTTGCCAAAGTTTTTGCTAAAGTATATCTTTTAATTGGCAATGTATCACATTTGGGAAAAAAAGGAAATAGGCATCGTTGTGGAGAGTCACCGTTTATTTGGATTGTAAAAATTGTTGATAAGAAAATGAGAAATTGATTGAGTTATATTCGTATACAAGGAGACTTCACTTACAACGAGGGAATGGTCGAGTGATTAGCCTCTCAAACACTTTAAAGAAAATGTTTTCACTATGTTTTTCATTTCAAACACTTTAAAGACATTTTCAACTTTATTTTATTTTTCATTTCAAAATAGAATTTGGAGTCAGATTTGCTCCAACTCTTTTTCATTTTCAACTCTAATATAGAATAAAATGTAGGTTTACTTTATATTTTCATTTATCATTCTAATTTTTTACTCTAAAATAAAATAGGGTTGAAGTTAAACACAACTCAATTTTATAATAAAAAATAAAATTTTGGGTTGGAAATACTTTTAGAACACTTTCAAATTAGAGGCAACTTTCATGAATGAATAAAAGAGGAGACCCAAACCCAAGGCCTCGACTCATCGTTATAGGTAAAATAAAGTAAGAAAATAAAAGAGTCATAGTCATTATTTTTGGTAATCGCAAATTTAGACCTTAATAACTTCGTAAAATCTTTTTTGTTATCTCGTCCTCTATATTCTAAAAAGCGAAAGGAGTTTAGGCTACTTTATTTCAAGTTTCAACATAATAAGAGGGAACGATTATGAGAATATTTGGGGATCTGATCAAATAGCATTTTAAAATAAATTAGTTTAGCCAAAAAACAATCATCTTTCCACCCATGCGATTCAACTTTATACTTTCCAGTTCATTCCCATAACCTACAAAATTATGTATTTAACTAAACTAAAACCAAACGAATAATTATTACCAATATGTGTAATGTTGGAGTGGACCACATTTATAACTGAAACTTACTTAATAGTTAATAGTTGTTTAGCAAAAAAAAAACTTACTTAATAGTTCCAATGGAATAATCCATCATTATTTCCTGCCTTATTAATGAGTATTTTTAACTTTAACATACATGATCATATGTTTCATATAGCCATGCCATATTTTTCTAGAAATTGAATATGAACACTACACAAATTATCAGTTTTGTCGAAAAGCTGGTTTTGCTAATCAAAACTAGTTACAAAG